CCCCCCCCCCCAGGCCTTCTTATTCTATTAATTATTGTTATGATGACTATTGTTATTAATAATTATTGTTACTCCACTAATATTCAGCTAGCCTCCGTGTAGAAGATGTATGGACACACAGAACTAAACCTTATTTATATGCCGTGGGGACTGCGTCACTCACCCGAAACGGGGCTCCGGGCTCCCTCGGGTTCCCAGCTGTGGTTTCTCGCAGGCCCACGCCCTTCCCAGCCCCCTGCCCCTCCCCCGGAGCCCTGGGCCGGAGCCCTGCCGCACCCCCATCGCTCCCAGGAGGGCACCCTTTCCGCCGGCTCCCAGAGACCCTCGAAATCTCCGAGAAGAGACACAGCTGCTACCTCTTAGTATTATTCCCGTTTCCTTCTGCCCTGGACTGATGGTAACGCACCGAAGATCTCCGTGGACAGCGGGCCGCCGCGCCGCCTTCCGGCTGTTGTGTGTGCGTCCCAGCCCAGAGCCTTCGCTGTCCTTCCTGCGGGATCGTTCCCAGTGGGGTCACGCCTCGCCCGCCCGGAACACGGCCGTCTTCTCTGCCCGCACAGCCCGAAGACACGTGTCTCCGCTCCCTCCTCCTCCTAGCTTCTTTAGAAAGATACGCACACAGTTAAAGACTGCCCCGAAACCAGACTTCTCGTTCTGGAAACCTCCGAGAGGGAGCCGGCCACATCAGCCATCGTGGCTTCCCCAGGCCGGGCAGCGGGGGAAGATGCGGGAACCTCGAGTTCTCCCCTCGGTAAAAATCCACGCGGCCCGACGCGGTTCCCTGACGGCTCTGTATCTATAGCTAGACGCCACCTGTCCATGTCGATGTATCTTTCTATAAATATACACTCTCAGGTACCTTCCCCGTGTGCCCGAGTCCCTGCTTCACTTCCCCAGACCCCTCTGAGCCTCCTGCTGGGGCCACGGTCCATCGGATGCGAACAGCCGCTCATCTGTCCTCAGGGGTCCCTTCCTTGGTCCAGGGTCTGACAGGTTTGGACAGGCCTGCTGGGGCTCAGGAGCTGGGGTGTGTGTGTGGGGGGGGTGGGGGACAGTGGCCAGAGCTGGCCCCAGGAGCAAGCTTTTGTCTGATGGGGGCCTGGAGGGGCCGGAAAAGGACGGCTCTCCACCCATCCGGACACACTCACATGGTGCTGGTTGAGGAGAGTTTAATAAAGGAGAGAGCCACACCGTGCGGGCAAAGCCGGCGGGAGTGCAGGATCCAGGCCAGCTCTGGGGTGTCACTGCCAGGCCTGCAGGGGGTGGAGAAGGGGAGCGATGCCGCCAGCCTGTGGGGACCCTGCAGGGACCTGCCATCCCCGCCTCCCTCTCCCGCCTGCCCTGCGTCCTGTTGTGCTGAAGCCACGGGGAGCTGGAGGGCGGGGGAGCTGCTGATGGGGTCCCCCTTCAGGCGGCGGGTGTCCTTCCCGGGCGGAGAAGAGAGTGGAGAGAGAGCCCAGCTGCCGGCCTGTCTGCTGCTTGGTCTCCCAGCTGCCACCCCCTTTCCCAGAGCCTCTGGTTTGGGTCCAATGTGGTCGGAAAGGCGTTCTTTTTGAAAATACTGGGCTTAGTTGTCACCAAATGATTGGGCTAGTGCTGGTTCGCCTGGGAATGGATTAATACAGTTCATCCCCAGGACAACCCTTGGAGGCAGCCAGTGGCAGCTCGGGGAGCTGGAGCTCAGAGAGGTTGAGTAACTCACCCGAGATCACACAGCAGGTGGCAGAGCTGGGGTTCTAGTCTTCCCCGCCGTCCCTTAACCACTGCGTCTGGGCTTCTGACAGTCAGTGTCCAACACAAACTGATGGGAATGTAACCAAAGCAGGGAGGAGGGAGGAGGGAGGAGGGAGTCCCCCCGCCCCCCAAGGTGCGTTGTCACGGTGTGGGTGCTGCCAGCTCTCTGGACCTCACAACCAAGTGGGAAAGGATCTTACACTAGGCCCGTGGTCGGCAAACTGCGGCTCGAGAGCCACATGCGGCTCTTTGGCCCCTTGAGTGTGGCTCTTCCTAAGCCTTAGGAGTACCCTAATTAAGTTAATAACAATGTACCTACCTATATAGTTTAAGTTTAAAAGATTTGGCTCTCAAAAGAAATTTCAATCGTTGTACTGTTGATATTTGGCTCTGTTGACTAATGAGTTTGCCGACCACTGCACTAGGTGAATCCCAGGAAAATATTCTGATTGGCTAGGCTCAGAGCCTGTACCAACCCTGGACCAATCAGCGTAGCCCACTGGGGTCACATGGCCAACCTGTGGCAAGGGGGCGGGGTCTGTGCCAGGAAGGAGAGGAAGGATGCTGAGCAGACAGGAGCTCCTGGTGCCCGGGCCCAGAATTGCTGCAGCCATGGCAACGAACCAGGACCGGTCCGCGCAGGAAGCCTCTCTGTGGCCTGGTGGCCGTGGGGCGGCTCCTCAGCCTCTGCGAGGAGGTCCCATGCTGCCCGCCCCGCTCTGTGGACTAATGAGTTTGCCGACCACTGCACTAGGTGAATCCCAGGAAAATATTCTGATTGGCTGGGCCCACATGGGGTCACATGGCCAACCTGTGGCAAGGGGGCGGGGTCTGTGCCAGGAAGGAGAGGAAGGTTGCTGAGCAGACAGGAGCTCCTGGTAACCTGGCCCAGAATTGCTGCAACCATGGCAACAAACCAGGACCGGTCCGCGCAGGAAGCCTCTCTGTGGCCTGGTGGCCATGGGGCGGCTCTTCAGCCTCTGCGAGGAGATCCCATGCTGCCTGCCCCAGCCCCATGGCTGTCAGGCATCTATTTCTTGGTCACTGGGATTTATTTAAAAATCACTTTGAGAAATAGTGGCGCGTACAGATAAAAGACCCAAAGGATCCAAAAAGCTGTGCCGTGAAAAGGACTTGCTTTCGGCATCTCTGACTCCCTTCCCGGCACCTTCCAGGGCTGCCCCGTTGGCCTGGTGGCGGGGAGCACAGACTCGGGGGCCAGGCCGCCTGGATTCAAATCCTCTCTGACTGCTCCACGCCCAGAATTGCTGCAGCCATGGCAACGAACCAGGACCGGTCCGCGCAGGAAGCCTCTCTGTGGCCTGGTGGCCATGGGGCGGCTCTTCAGCCTCTGCGAGGAGATCCCATGCTGCCTGCCCCAGCCCCATGGCTGTCAGGCATCTATTTCTTGGTCACTGGGATTTATTTAAAAATCACTTTGAGAAATAGTGGCGCGTACAGATAAAAGACCCAAAGGATCCAAAAAGCTGTGCCGTGAAAAGGACTTGCTTTCGGCCTGGTGGTGGGGAGCACAGACTCGGGGGCCAGGCCTCCTGGATTCAAATCCTCTCTGACTGCTCCACGTGGGATTCTGTGCCCCTCGAGCCTCAGTTTCCCCTTTAGGGAAGGGGATCAGGAAAGACTTACCCCACAGAGTCGTGGTGAGAATTCACTGAGCTAACACTGGCTGACCCTTGGGAGCACATAAAAGTGTTCGCTGCCGCTATTTACAAGAATAAATGCATCTACAGACGATATCTCCCCATTTAAAGTCTGTTAACTTTTAAAAAGACTTTATTTTTTTTCCCCGAGCCGTTTTAGGTTCGTAACAAAATGGAGAGGAAGGTACAGTGTCCTGATATCCCCCCTCCTCCCACTCATGCACCGTCTCCCCCATTGTCAACATCACTCACCGGAGTGGTACCTTTTAAAAATATATATTCTTACTGATTTCAGAGGGGAAGGGAGAAGGAGAGAGAGAGAGAAACATCAATGATGAGCGGGAATCACCTATTGGCTGCCTCCCGCATGCCCCCCACTGGGGATGGAGCCTGCAACCTGGGCCTGTGCCCTTGACCAGAATCGACCCCTTCGGCCCTTTTTTTTTTTTTTTTTTTAAACCAAGAATGAACCTACATGGACACATCACCATCACCCAAATCCACAGTTTGCCTCGGGGCTCACTGCCGGTGTTTGTTGGAAATTCCATGGGTAGTGACCTGTATCCATCATTATAATATCATACAGACTATTTTCACTAAATACTCTCCGTCTATTCATCTCCCCCTCACCCCCACTATTGTTCATTTTAAAAACATTTCTAACACAATTTGGAGGAGAAAACATTGTGTCACAGCGACTCGGACCTCCCCCAGGCTTTACAAGAGCGGACCTTTGGCAATGTTTATTTCAGATCTATTTTTAAGGAGGAAAACATGGCAGTCACCGCCTAATCCCCCAGCCGGGCCCGCGCCTTTATTTTTACCCGAGCGGGAGCATAGCGTTCGTGCTCGGGCCTGGTCTCTGTGACCTCACGTCTTCGGAGACCTGGCTCCCCCGGGCGGGCCGTGCAGCTCAGGCCCCTTCTCTCCAACAGCTGCTCGGACTTGGGGAGGCGGCCCCACCCCACCCGGCAGGCACGTGGGGCTCCCCTGGGCCGGGCAGGGCCCTGTGCCTGGCTTGCCTAGGTGCCCACCAGCAGGAGCCCTGACAATAGAGTTCAACAGCACGTGACTTCCGTTTGGATGCTGTCGTTAATGACCCTAGAAGAAGCTGAACCACGGAATTTAGAAGTTGAAGGAAGAAGAGAGAGAAATGGAGGGGGGACTACAGCAGTCAACAGTGCTCCTTGGGGAGGCTCTGAGCCATTTCCCTGCAGGCTGGGGTGGGGA